GCGCTAGCCTGTTTGAGACACACAACAGCCAATATAATACCTACATTCAGCCAGAATTCCCTAGTGTATCAACCCACGATCCCAAATTAAATCCCTGAGATGCCACTGCATGTTTTTTCTTCAGTTAGCCTGCAGTAATGCGTTATTATCGCGTTAACTTCAACAGTGAGAGACAGTCAGAGACATTTTCTTCACACACATGTTGCAGTCTGACACATTTTACAATCAACCCTGGTTTTAAATAATCAGACAATATCCGATAGTGCTGATAATTGCTTTAACTAGTCAATACTAATCAGTGCATCCCTATATAATAGAATATCAATGATAGTAAAATAACACTGGTATGGAGGTTGTGAACTTGTTGTTAAGAGGGGTGGCGCTGTAGTCAGTTGTCATCTGCTCTCCATTTACGTCATTATTTGATGCGAGTATAGAGGGCCGCTGTTGTAGTTAGTACTTTATTACATTACAGAGCCGTTTCGTCACGTGCATTATGTTGTAATGGGGATGCGACCGATTGGTTTATTAGTTCAGGCCTGGGATCTAAGACTAACAAGACCATGCCTCCGTTTTCCTGAACTCTCTATCCATTACGCTCTGCCGCGACCCAGACACATACGCGAGGTGCTGCGCCTTATCGAATTCCCTTCCAATTAGTGTTGAATCAAAGCAGCCTTAATGGGCTTTGCCTCATGATATCATTTAATTCACGGCAATAACAAACCTCTCGTTGTGATTTCAAGCACTCGAGGCCAAATGAATCCTGATGGTTCAGCCGCTGAATGTGGGAGATTTGATTGTGCATTGTGTCCGCCACAAAAGCGCATGCTTTCTCCTGTCTTTCTTTAGTGACCTTTTCGGCGTCCTGCCTGTGGCACGTTATTTATTTATGACTGTGTGGAAGCCAAAAGGCTGACAGCCTGCCCTGTTATCGTTTGGTCATCCGCTCAAGTGGCTAGGTGGTTGGGTAGACGCGTAGTGTTCAGAAACTGGGGCAGTCTGATTAATGCCAGCCTTTGGAAGCGAGACGCACAGACATGACAACAAAGAGGCCTCTCTGGAAGGCAGGGAAAGTGAGATAACGCACAGCGATACGCAGATACGCGTGCATGAGAAGGTAACGTGATGCCAGCCGCGGAAAGAAAAATCAAACATGCCACTGCGTGTTTTGTTAAGTTTAGTCCGAAGCCAGTGAATAATTAGTCCCTGAGGGGAAATCAATACATCATTTGCATATTTCTGACACACTGGAGAAGTTGTCTGCCTGTCTGTCTGCACCACAAATGATGGGAAACTTTTTCTCCAACTGATTTTTGTTAAGCTTTTGATCTGCTACGCTCAGCCAGGTGTAAATCCGTGGAAGTAAGAGTTCCTTTGCAAACGTAGTTCAAATCCGAATCAACATGCTAAAACATCAAAAGCAGTTCCTCCTTTAACATTGCTGTTTCTACAAACTATACATTGAAGGGATAAATTACTCTTAAACAAGAATTCTGGCATTATTTACTCATTTACTGATTTATTTATTACAGGTGTGATAAATGCCTGCATAAAGAGACCATCATCATGTGAAAAAGAAGTACACTTTTTTTAAAAAAAGAGTACTTTTTGCAAAAAAAAAAGAACGTTCAAGTGTGAACTGAATATAATGTTTTCAGACACGTTTTCTTTTACATACATTTAAATGTATTTTACTTTAAGTTTATACAGTGCGTGCATAATAATTAGGCACGTTGATATTCTGATCATATTTTTTTCCAAGCACATTTTACCAATTCCAAACCACATCAATCGTAATAACTACTATTAGTTTTGTATTTAATCATTTATAAGTGATATATAATTGTCCATGAAGGCTGGAAGTGAAAAACTCCTTATATTTAGGTGTGCAGAATTATTAGGCACTTTTTCTTTTTCAGTTTAAAAGAAAATTATTTCACTAATACTATTTAATAACACCCTTGTATTTGAATGTGTTAGTTTGCTAGCTACAACAGCTCTCAGACAATCAGTTCATTCCTATACAATGGCCATAAAGATGTGCAAAGGTTATTTTTGATTTGGCAAGGTCAAAGCACGCGCTGCAATCAATACAGAAATCATTACCGTGAAATCAGCGACGTGTGGAGCGGCGCTAGCCTGTTTGAGACACACAACAGCCAATATAATACCTACATTCAGCCAGAATTCCCTAGTGTATCAACCCACGATCCCAAATTAAATCCCTGAGATGCCTAAAGTATCCTTTGGTTTTCCATTAGCCATCTCATGCACGCACCGTTGGGCCACTGATTTTAAGACGAACTTAAAGAAGATGATGGAAGCACCCCAGGCTGATGCACAAACTCAATTTAAATAGCAGTCAGCCATTGTTTTTATATGTGAAACAAAAGGTTTTAAAACAAATGTCAACTTGAGGCTAAAGCAACCGTTCCCATAACATGCTTGAACCAGAATGCACAAGAACATCATTATAAATATGCAAGTTTGGACTTACTTTGCTTGACTTTATTTTCAGCTCCTCCATATTGCTGCAAAAGAAAAGGGGAAAATATTAAGATATAATCTATAAATATGAGAACAGCCCTATCTGACTCCAAAACAAAGCTAACTATTTCACTGGTTAGTAGTAAAGCCTACAGGTTTACATGTAGCACACCAGAAAATTTGAAGTTAAAATATACAGCACAGACCACTTTACATGTACATGTCTGATAATGTCAAATAATCAGACATGCACATCCCTTACGAAAAGGAAGCTTATTCAAGTGTGTTATTAGTATACTTCTTTTAAACTAAAAAATAGGAAAGTATACTTTCAGTCTACTTTTTATGTACTTCTCAGAAATATACTTAAAATGACATTTAAGTACACTTGACGTCTACATTTATTTGAGCTATAGCCTACTTGTTCTCCGAGAATGTTTTCATTGTTATACATTAGGGGGCGCTATTACACATCTTCTGTACAGAATTTCCAAAACACAGAAACAGCGAAGAAGCAACCGAAAAACAACAGATGCTTTCACACATAATCTAACTAAAAGAAAATTATTTCACTAATACTATTTAATAACACCCTTGTATTTGAATGTGTTAGTTTGCTAGCTACAACAGCTCTCAGACAATCAGTTCATTCCTATACAATGGCCATAAAGATGTGCAAAGGTTATTTTTGATTTGGCAAGGTCAAAGCACACGCTGCAATCAATACAGAAATCATTACCGTGAAATCAGCGACGTGTGGAGCGGCGCTGGCCTGTTTGAGACACACAACAGCCAATATAATACCTACATTCAGCCAGAATTCCCTAGTGTATCAACCCACGATCCCAAATTAAATCCCTGAGATGCCTAAAGTATCCTTTGGTTTTCCATTAGCCATCTCATGCACGCACCGTTGGGCCACTGATTTTAAGACGAACTTAAAGAAGATGATGGAAGCACCCCAGGCTGATGCACAAACTCAATTTAAATAGCAGTCAGCCATTGTTTTTATATGTGAAACAAAAGGTTTTAAAACAAATGTCAACTTGAGGCTAAAGCAACCGTTCCCATAACATGCTTGAACCAGAATGCACAAGAACATCATTATAAATATGCAAGTTTGGACTTACTTTGCTTGACTTTATTTTCAGCTCCTCCATATTGCTGCAAAAGAAAAGGGGAAAATATTAAGATATAATCTATAAATATGAGAACAGCCCTATCTGACTCCAAAACAAAGCTAACTATTTCACTGGTTAGTAGTAAAGCCTACAGGTTTACATGTAGTACACCAGAAAATTTGAAGTTAAAATATACAGCACAGACCACTTTACATGTACATGTCTGATAATGTCAAATAATCAGACATGCACATCCCTTACGAAAAGGAAGCTTATTCAAGTGTGTTATTAGTATACTTCTTTTAAACTAAAAAATAGGAAAGTATACTTTCAGTCTACTTTTTATGTACTTCTCAGAAATATACTTAAAATGACATTTAAGTATACTTGACTTATACTTAGAAAAAGTCTAAATATATTTGAGCTATGCTTGTGCTCCTAGAATCCGTGTTTTCATTGCTATACGGTAGGGGGTGCTAGTACACATCTTCTGTACAGAATTTCCAAAACACAGAAACAGCGAAGAAGCAACCGAAAAACAACAGATGCTTTCACACATAATCTAACATGATCATCAGACATAAAACAGCATCAAAATTGTGTAACGTTGTGAAAATGTTGACCCATGAAGAGGTAATAATGATTGTCAAGCTTTTGGATCATCATTCTGAATCCAATTCATAGTCTTTTTTCAGCTTTTTGTTGTTTATATATTTATTTATTTATTCTTTTTTTATTTATGAAACTTACCCACATTTACATGTTTATAAAAAAAGAATGCATGAAGTTAGAATAAAATGTTTTTGTTTACAAGCAGATACCCTGTTCTTTCTTTTGATGTTTTGTATGTTCAGATATTCATATAACAAAATATATACACATTCTTAAATAGGCACATAGTAGTATACTTAAAGTATGATGTAAAGTTCACTTAAAGAACTTACGAGTATACTTGCAGTGTAAAACTACTAAACTATTAGTTTACTGAGACTATACTTCAAAGTGTACTAAAAATGCTACAAGTATCTAATTAGTAAACTATCAGTATACCTTTAAGTACAAGCTAAAAACATAGAGGTAAACTAGCTGTGTACTCAAAGTTTACTACTTTAAATCCCTGAGATGCCTAAAGTATCCTTTGGTTTTCCATTAGCCATCTCATGCACGCACCGTTGGGCCACTGATTTTAAGACGAACTTAAAGAAGATGATGGAAGCACCCCAGGCTGATGCACAAACTCAATTTAAATAGCAGTCAGCCATTGTTTTTATATGTGAAACAAAAGGTTTTAAAACAAATGTCAACTTGAGGCTAAAGCAACCGTTCCCATAACATGCTTGAACCAGAATGCACAAGAACATCATTATAAATATGCAAGTTTGGACTTACTTTGCTTGACTTTATTTTCAGCTCCTCCATATTGCTGCAAAAGAAAAGGGGAAAATATTAAGATATAATCTATAAATATGAGAACAGCCCTATCTGACTCCAAAACAAAGCTAACTATTTCACTGGTTAGTAGTAAAGCCTACAGGTTTACATGTAGTACACCAGAAAATTTGAAGTTAAAATATACAGCACAGACCACTTTACATGTACATGTCTGATAATGTCAAATAATCAGACATGCACATCCCTTACGAAAAGGAAGCTTATTCAAGTGTGTTATTAGTATACTTCTTTTAAACTAAAAAATAGGAAAGTATACTTTCAGTCTACTTTTTATGTACTTCTCAGAAATATACTTAAAATGACATTTAAGTACACTTGACGTCTACATTTATTTGAGCTATAGCCTACTTGTTCTCCGAGAATGTTTTCATTGTTATACATTAGGGGGCGCTATTACACATCTTCTGTACAGAATTTCCAAAACACAGAAACAGCGAAGAAGCAACCGAAAAACAACAGATGCTTTCACACATAATCTAACATGATCATCAGACATAAAACAGCATCAAAATTGTGTAACGTTGTGAAAATGTTGACCCATGAAGAGGTAATAATGATTGTCAAGCTTTTGGATCATCATTCTGAATCCAATTCATAGTCTTTTTTCAGCTTTTTGTTGTTTATATATTTATTTATTTATTCTTTTTTTATTTATGAAACTTACCCACATTTACATGTTTATAAAAAAAGAATGCATGAAGTTAGAATAAAATGTTTTTGTTTACAAGCAGATACCCTGTTCTTTCTTTTGATGTTTTGTATGTTCAGATATTCATATAACAAAATATATACACATTCTTAAATAGGCACATAGTAGTATACTTAAAGTATGATGTAAAGTTCACTTAAAGAACTTACGAGTATACTTGCAGTGTAAAACTACTAAACTATTAGTTTACTGAGACTATACTTCAAAGTGTACTAAAAATGCTACAAGTATCTAATTAGTAAACTATCAGTATACCTTTAAGTACAAGCTAAAAACATAGAGGTAAACTAGTTGTGTACTCAAAGTTTACTACTGTTATACTTAAAGTAGTACTTTTATATACTAACAAGAAAGTCCCAATGAGTACTGAAATAGTACACTTACAAGTATACTACTAGTACACTGATATTTGTATACTTACTACATAAAGTATACTTGAATAAAATATACTTGTACTTTACTTAAGTATACTTAATAAAATAAACTTAAAGTATACTTATTTTTGGTAAGGGATGTAATGTGCATATATCAAATAATCAGACATGCGCATTACAGCAAGCAATAAACAAACATATCCAAGCATATCCAAACTGGCAAAAAAGCTCAGTATTGGAGCCTATGCAGGGTATTAAGTGTGAGCGCAGTGTCCTCCATGCTGACCATCTTGATCAGAGATCAGAGCCCTTATCTCCTCCAGGCTCAGAGACCTGCATTCTCTGTCATATCACCATCACTCATGCATCTCTACAGATGCTGGCCACTTCAGTTTCCCTGAGGCTGATCTTCAGCTGTAGAGGAATGTAGATCCTCTTCTCCAGTTCGATCCTCATTAATGTCCCAGTGGAAGTAAGCCGGGACCATTACCATTTTAGAGGGATCTTTGCTCTCAGGGGCAGCTCTCTTTTTGCACCTGTATTTCTGATAACACTGTGGGAATTGCTTCATGCTCGTCTGATGTGCTTTCTGCAGATCTCATCAGAAAAATCAAGCCGTTTGAAAGAGAAGCCACAGCTGTTCAGTTTGCACATTAAGCTGTGCATGGAGGACAAGATGTATAAAAAGGGTTGTGCCACATTTACTTGCATCTAGGGATGTGCGATATTTATTGTCTATGATACTAGCGTAACTGCCTTAACAATGTGCAAGCTGTAACTTAATTTGCAATAAAAAAACAAAAACAGTATTGTTTTTGCAAGTCACAGAGATGCGTGATTTGTGTGATGTGCATGTTGAACCAGTTCACAATACTACTGAATCAATTATTACTGAATCAAAACAAAAGAGTGGGAACTCTTAAAAGGTTATTTAAAAGGTGCTTGTTCAGTCAGGAAACAGTTTGACTCGGACCGAAGACCGATGAGCCGCTGATATGAGCATGAGTGAAGCCAGCACTTGAATGAAGGGGTGAAATGAACGGTTTATGGTTTCTCAATGTTTACAGTATTTTTAAAAATGTGAGCTGATGAAGACTAGTTTATTCACTTTATATGCTTTAGACATGTAAAACATCCATGTTTGGCATCATTATGGGGTGCTTTAATAAATGTCTATACTTTGTGTCAGTTATTTGAACCAGTTCATTGAAACAAACCATCCAAAAGAGCCAGTTCACAGAAAATAATCAGCTTTACCAATTTGCCTGTAGTTATGGATTACAGGTAATGCATTATTACAGGTTAAATCTTTTTTTAAATAATGTTCAGTTTCTTGCACAGACTGATTGTTTCATTACTTAAGGCCTCGATATATCATCAAGGTATTAATTTAGTGTTCCCTGATATGCATTTTTGCATTATACTTGCATTATATGACTCACCAAGGAGCATGGTTTCTGCTAAAAATCATCTTTACTGTTCTACTGAAGAGAGAAAGTCACCATCTTGGATGAGTAAATTAACAGCATTTTTAATTTTTTTTTGCTGAACTATCCCTTTAAATTAAGTAGTTAACTGTCCTTTGAAAACTATACAGCAAACTGTTTAACTATTTTTGTTTTACACCTCTGAGCAGAAAAAGATGGTTTCAACACTATTTCTCAGGTGTGTTCTCATGAGTTCACAGACAGAAAACAATGCTTAATGTTAAAATAATCTAATATAATCATAGTAGCACAGACTACGATATTAACTTCTGCTGCTGTTTTTACAACATTTAGAAATTTGTCAGTTCCTGTTCAGCCAAAACCTATATTGTGTTAATAATCTGACATACGGCTGTGTTTATTCAGTTTCCTTTGTGCAATAAGGAGTCCTGGCTCAGTGTTGTGTTGCACTCGCTGCTTGATGTAAAGCATGGGTTCTGACGCAAAAGCAATTGAGAAGCGCTGCTGTAAACATCACTGCAACATGTACAGTATACAAGGTTACAAACTTATGAAGTGGCTACAAGTATGGCCACTGGATGCAGGCACTATATATATCCATTCATATTTAATACTTTAATAACCTTAATAAAAGTGGGGTTAGTTTGTGGGGTTAGTGTGTTAACACTAGAAGGCTGAGAGCATCCATGGTGCTGGATTCAGGCTAATGGCTTTTTACAGCAAACGCTCCACTGAACAAACAGCTGCACTTACAGATCTCTGTTTATTTTCATACTCTCAGTATGTTCTATACAGGCATGTTTTAAATAAGTCTTTCTCACAAAGCTGGCTGTCTGTATATGTAGAAGGTCATTTAGTGTCATTGAGTGTAGTGATAGTGTAGCGCTCAACCAGAGATCCCCAGCCACAAAATTTTGATTTTGATCAAAAATCTAATTCAAACTACTATCAAATACTATTATAGTATATAAATAATACTAAAATAAGATTACATACGTGTCTGCTTCCCTCTGCTTTTGCATCACAGTGACTTTATTGATCACAGAATCAGCATAGCTCAGTCTATCTGTGAAACATAGATACTTAAATCAGAAAAAGCACAACTTTTAAACCAGAAAAAGTAAAGCTTTTAGCGCATTTTCTCAATATAAGTTTTGATTCATTAATAATAAGCTTACCAAGGTTTATTTTGTTTTCAAATTTCCTCAGGACTTTGTCTGATGGGGTGGACATCTTTGAGGACTTATTATTAGAATTTTGACGATTAGCCTGGTGAAAAAACCCCACATATAACTCTATTGTAATTTAAACTACACAAATTCTTAGAAACACTGGCCTTGCACAATCCTTGCATAATTATTTGTGCATGTTTTAAGGCCATATCAGCAACAATGGCTATATGTTCATGGCAACATTAAAAATATTATTTAAATAAGTCCTTTACAATAATATGGAGGAGGCTTGTCATACACTATCAAAACATTAAATGTATATCAACATGTATACTGCAATTCAGCCAAAAAACACAAGAGATATAATTTTTTGGCCATATCGCCCAACCCTAATTGAGGCCTATGTTCTCTACTACACATATTTTTCATTTTATTTCCCACACTACTGTTTCAATTACAAGATATTTACATCAATGTTGCAATAAAAAGGGTATATTGTATATGAATTATTAAATGAATTTAATACATTTTATGTAAATTAATAAATTATACAAAGGTAATAAATTATTTAAAATTGTTTTCTCATATACACTTTTAGCTGTGATTCTGCTGAAGCTGATCTAAACCGGCTTAAATTTGGTTAGCTTGGTTAAGTCTAAACCTACTCTGAAACTCAAACATTTTAGCTCTGAGTGCCAGAACATGAACAACAAAAGAAAATGAAACGCACTACTACCTGAAGTCCCTCCTGAAGCTCCTTTACTGTAGCTCCAGATCCAGCACTGGCTCGGACTCCATAAGCCAGCCATAGGGAAGATCCGAGCAGGATGGACAAAGCCCAAACGCCCAAGAAGCCCATCAGCATCAGCCTGTCAAGAGAAGAACGTGTACATGATGAAGCAAACAGGTGCTGAAAATCTCCTCACCCTCAAACCATCCAAAATGTAGATGAGTGTCACAAAAGTAGATGAGACCATCACAAAAGTATGTTATTTGCATGTGCTTTAAAGCCTTGCTGATGAAACATTTCATTCACGTTCTGTTCTTATGTGTGCTTTTTCTGAGTGTGTACACATGAAGCGAGCGCACACTGCACACTAAAACAGCGCCTGATTCGCGTCTTAATGATTATGTGTCTAATCCTGTCAAAAACACACAAGGTTTACATGGACTGTAAACATAGTTGGTTATGTCTAAAATGAAAGTAAACAGTTGCGAGAGAAACGGATATGTGCAGCTCTTAAAGCGACGGAACTAAACATGCTGCCGCTTGTCATTAAAGGAATAGTTCACCTAAAAATGTAATATCTGTCATTATTTGCTCATTCACATGTTGTTGCAAACAATTTATTTCTTCATTTCATTTCTTTCTTGTGCTGAGCACAAAAGAAGATATTTTGAAGAATATGGGTAACCAAACGGTCAGATTTTTTTAATAGGCTAACAAAGATAAAACAATAACAAGGATTTTTATCTTCACCCACTTTGACCTAAATGTATGCCATTCTTTTTTATTTTATATTTTGTTGAGGTATAGGAGGTGTTATGCGTCCGCACTCTTCCATTTTTAGCAAATAAAGAAGAAACTTTGTCGAAAAGCAATTTTCGTGATGGTTTGTATTTTTTGTGCTCTGTATGGAACATCAGTGCCTGTTTAAGTGATGAACTCCATTACTTGTGTTAGTTTTCAGACATAATAACAGATGTTTTATATTTGTGCTACAACTGTTTGGCCTGTGCTACAGAACGTTCAACCTCTGTTGCACCAGTGCTATGTGCAAAAAAAGTTAAAGTACAGCCCTGCTTCACATATTTTTTAGATATCCGTCTTTCATTATTAGGAGAGTTTTGATGTTGTTATTGACATGTGCACTGATAAAACGATCATCTGTAACCATCAGATTCATCCGCACAACTCACGTCATGACCAAAACAATGTTCCTCCGCAAGTAACTTTTAGTTTTGTGGTTCAGATGGCCAAAAGATGTATGCATAATGGAAATACTGCTGGACATTTTTAACAGACAAAGATACAAACTTAAAACTGCGCTGTTATATATGCACTGAGGAAAACATGCTGCAAACGTATTAAAAAGCATATTTTAGAGCACCTGACATTGGCAGACCATTAAATTATATGAGTTATAAAGCATGGGTTATGTTCACAACTTGGATTGTGCACTTTTCTTGCAAAACCTTCAGTAGGCAAAAGGTCCATAAAACAGTTTTTAACAGTTGTGAGTTTATGTAGAAGTTGTGTAACCAATAAATATTAGAAATACAGAAAATATATTTAGAGTTGCTGTCTGCTCTGAAAATTTTGCTCTGAAAAAGTTAGTGTAATAATAATTACTAAATAATAGATATGTGTTACCAAGATTTAGTTTTGGCCTGTGATTCAAGTTCAAGCCATTGCTTTACTAATGCTGTATTGAGATGATTTATAGTCTAGTCAAGTCAAGTCACCTTTATTTTCATAGCGCTTATGCAATCCAGATTGTGTAAAAGCAGCTTCACAGTGATACACAAGAAAATAGAAGAATTATGGAAAAAACAACTATGGAGAGATTCATATTCTGCTGTAAAGCAGTTCTAAAAGACTAAAAATAGTGTCATTATTCAGATCAATCAATTCAGTGTTGGTTCAGTTCAGACAGAGCTGCAGTCGCAATCACGAGTTCTGCTTCTCTAGATTTATTAAGCTTAATCATCTGCAATATTTGCCTGCTGGTTATTTATCCTGAAACAAGCTTTTTTCATTAATCGATACATTTTCTGCCCAGTGTTTTCCTTTATCTTCCCAATCTGGCAACCATGTGCACACGCTCTCACTACATTACAGAAAAATGCCGATGAGCTGAAACCAACAGCAAACATGTAAGATGGAATTTAGCGATCTCTATTGAGATATTCAGCTCAAATGAAAGTGCAATACAGAAAGTCTGTTTTCCTTCACTCGGTCGTTCGCACGGTGTGCTGCGAAAGGGAACCGTGCAAGTTGACGTTCTCTTGATTTGTGCTTATGTGAAAGTGCAATAATTATGATGAAAGGTTGACAAAAAAATTAAATGAGTAATCATGATTAACAACTGTGATTGTATTTTTTGAGCAAAATAATGGTGACACATACAAAGACGCTGTATGAAATGTGCAGTATGGTCAGATGTGTTTCTGACAGCTAGTTGTGACGTGGTAAGCTCAGCCAACATAAGAAACGACTGTTGAAATTGTCTTCATTTAATCTAATCTAATCTAATTAATTAATCTATCTAATCCACAAGCAATGGTCCTGCCCATGACATGCTCCACATTTAAGATGCACCTCCTGTTTTTTAATTTTTTTTTATAATTTTGTTATATTCATTTTTGGCCATATCAGTGATGGATACATAGGAAGCGTTATGGAGAAGAGCATCAGGAAAGTGCCTGAACGTGTGCACCAAACTAACTGCATTCACAATATCTGATGAGATACACAATATCTATAATACCCAGTTTGGTCACAGTTCAGGTCCAATTCTCATTATTAACTATGAAACGTGGTAAGCTCAGCCAACATAAGAAACGACTGTTGAAATTGTCTTCATTTAATCTAATCTAATCTAATTAATTAATCTATCTAATCCACAAGCAATGGTCCTGCCCATGACATGCTCCACATTTAAGATGCACCTCCTGTTTTTTAATTTTTTTTTATAATTTTGTTATATTCATTTTTGGCCATATCAGTGATGGATACATAGGAAGCGTTATGGAGAAGAGCATCAGGAAAGTGCCTGAACGTGTGCACCAAACTAACTGCATTCACAATATCTGATGAGATGCACAATATCTATAATACCCAGTTTGGTCACAGTTCAGGTCCAATTCTCATTATTAACTATGAATTTTGCCTCAATAAACTCCTAATTTGCAGCTTCTTAATAGTTAGTAAGGTAGTTGTTAGTTTAGGTATGGGGTGGATTAAGGGATCTAAAATATGCTCATGCAGAATAAGACATTAATATGTGCTTCATAATTAACAGCCAATATGCTGGTATTATGCATGCTAGTTAATACTAAGGTTACCAATCATTTGCATTCAAGTACTACCTTAGATGTGTGACGAAACATTGAATACTACAGCTGACAATCACTTTAAAGATTCCCTTTCTCATCTTAAGAAGACGTGTTAGTCACACCACACACTGAAGCACTTTTCCGATTCATCAGCAAACACGTTCAAACTTCTGGCTGTTCTGTAGACATTTCACGTAGGTTTTCGCGTAGTGTGTGTGTGTGTAAGTGTAAGTGTGTTTCATCACAAAAGCTTCGCGCTAAAATCTGAACAGTAAATCTATTTAATCAATGTGAATAAATCTAACATCCACCAAGAAATTCAATATTCTATGAACTGATGCATAAACCTTTAGTTTTCTTTACATAGGAATACTAATGAAATCACATCAGTTAATCTGTCGATTGGTTAATCTGTGCCATTTTAGATTTTTCGTTATCATTTGTTCATGCATGGATAACTAGTACCAGCTTACAATATTATACTCACATTTCAGCTAAAATTGGGTAATGACATAAAATAATTCTATGTTATGCTAATTATATCTGGCTTTACATAAACAAACATCTCATGTAAACTGACAACAGCAATGACAAAAGATGATTTCACAAGCTAAAGCTGCTCGGTATGAATATTACCAAGACAAATTGATGTCTATTACCAAACAAGAGAAATGTTTAAATGCTTTACTGATGTAAACTGTAATGAAATTTGGAAATGATAAAAATCTTTTCACCTAGAGTCAATCACAAAGCTATAAGAAAGACTCGTTAGCTGTTACGGTTCATCTACAGGTTGAGTTTAGAGAGGCTTTGCAGAAAAGGTAAGCACATATTGTGAACGAACCAAATGAAAAAAAGAAAAAAAAATCCACAATATTTGTGTAAACAAGACCACGGATCCAAACAAACATCTTCAAATTTTGCAGCAGGAACGTGAATCGCATTACAGAGGTTAAAAATAACTCGTGTGACATTTTCAAGAGCTTCGTTGGATTACAGATTACACGTTGAACCGCAGCTGAGCAATTCTCAATACGGATTGAAACAAGTGATGAACTGGGAATAACAATCAGGCACTCTGTATGACTGCATGAAGACATCACAATGCTGCTATATTCTGCTGCTTGATATTATTCACCTACATGCACTAGATCACATCTGATCTCCCGGTGAAGCATCATCATTGCGTTTGAATCAGACAGAAATATCACACCATCCCTGTGCCTCTATTATCAGTTCATATGAGTGTGCAATCCACTCGGATGCTCTACTGCAGCGGGTCGCAGGTCTGTTCTGATGGCGTTTTTGACAGCAGGGAACACAATGCCAAACAATTGCTACAGTAGGCTTATCACAATAATTAAGGATGGGAATAAAATTAAAAATAAATTAAAAATGTTTGCATCCAATCAAGATCTACAGTATATGTGACCCTGGACCACAAAACCAGTCGCTGGGGTATATTTGTAGCAATAGCCAACAATACATTGTATGGGTCAAAATTATTGATTTTTCTTTTATGCCAAAAATCATTAGAATATTAAGTAAAGATCATTTTCCATAAAGATATTTTGTACATTTCCTACCGTAAATATATCAAAACTTAATGTTTGATTAGTAATATGCATTGCTAAGAACTTCATTTGGACAACTTTAAAGGAGATTTTCTCAATATTTAGATTTTTTTGCACCCTCCGATTCCAGATTTTCAAATAGTTGTATCTCTGCCAAATATTGTCCGATCCTAACAAACCATACATCAATGGAAAGCTTAATAAATCTCAATTTCAATAAATTGACCCTTATGACTGGTTTTGTGGTCCAGGGTCACATATTTAGGCAAGCAAACTACACAGATGCATACATGGACAGGTTGTGTGATGCCCTTATCCTCCAAGTAAAAGAAAATACAACCCAGGTCAAATTTTTGCTCTTGTTCATGTACGTACAAAATGTTCAGGCCATGGTCATGGTAATATCATACCATATTACTTTTGTACCATAGACCATTTTGGTTAGTTCAGTGTAAAGTCTGAGTTCTGATGTTGAAGTGAATGTCCCAACACAACACAGTTTCAGAAGCAATGCATACTATGGGTAATAATAGCATTGCATTTAGTATAACAATAAAATAAATATTACAATAAACTCGTGAGACATTTCATTAGCTCTTATGCCTTTCTTCCGATACACACTTGCTGTAAAAAAAATGTATCTTAACATACAACGGCAAAAACTGGCAGCGGTGCTGGAACATTACATTACAAAATACAAAATACAATGATGATTTTACACACATTTTAGTGTCTGACATTATGTTAATATACCAACCTATCTGAGCTGGTAAAATCTCTAATAATAACAGATACACAATACAGCGGAAGGCAAAACGATGACTTCAATTTCACCAAACGTGACCTCTCCAGTAGCCCTCTGTGACTAATAATAACATAAAGACAGATGAAAGTGTCACCCACACAAACACAAAACACCATCATGCAAGCTCAAATAACGATGCATGCTATAAACATGTAATAAACTAACATAACACAGTGCAAATGTAATGGTTTGCATGCAGGGAATTCTGGGAACGACCAGAATTTCTCCATGAATTAGAAAGAGATTCATACCTTTTACTTACAACAACTCTTCAACAATATTCTACATTTATCAAATATGTTACCGTTTAACCAATTAAACGTTTTTACTGTACACTTTTACTGTTCTCTTCTGTTACAGTAACGTTTTACAGTGTGCATCACCTTTTCAGTCATAAGATGTGATTGCACATGTAGGCTATATGTAAAAAAAAAAAAAGATTTATTTATTGCTAGAAATATATGTAGGCTATATATAATAAACTATTATAATGTGTTATGGCTATGAATAATGCGATAAAACAATAAGCTTACTCTGTAAGAATAAATGAAGGTAAATTCTGATTAAACGTGAGCTGTAATAAAGCTTGCTGGTCTAAGTGCAGGTCCGATCAAATGTCTGGTGTACCTCTGATGTTCTGAGCCTGAAATAGCATTGCATTTAGTATAACAATAAAATAAATATTACAATAAACTCGTGAGACATTTCATTAGCTCTTATGCCTTTCTTCCGATACACACTTGCTGTAAAAAAAATGTATCTTAACATACAACGGCAAAAACTGGCAGCGGTGCTGGAACATTACATTACAAAATACAAAATACAATGATGATTTTACACACATTTTAGTGTCTGACATTATGTTAATATACCAACCTATCTGAGCTGGTAAAATCTCTAATAATAACAGATACACAATACAGCGGAAGGCAAAACGATGACTTCAATTTCACCAAACGTGACCTCTCCAGTAGCCCTCTGTGACTAATAATAACATAAAGACAGATGAAAGTGTCACCCACACAAACACAAAACACCATCATGCAAGCTCAAATAACGATGCATGCTATAAACATGTAATAAACTAACATAACACAGTGCAAATGTAATGGTTTGCATGCAGGGAATTCTGGGAACGACCAGAATTTCTCCATGAATTAGAAAGAGATTCATACCTTTTACTTACAACAACTCTTCAACAATATTCTACATTTATCAAATATGTTACCGTTTAACCAATTAAACGTTTTTACTGTACACTTTTACTGTTCTCTTCTGTTACAGTAACGTTTTACAGTGTGCATCACCTTTTCAGTCATAAGATGTGATTGCACATGTAGGCTATATGTAAAAAAAAAAAAAGATTTATTATATTGCTAGAAATATATGTAGGCTATATATAATAAACTATTATAATGTGTTATGGCTATGAATAATGCGATAAAACAATAAGCTTACTCTGTAAGAATAAATGAAGGTAAATTCTGATTAAACGTGAGCTGTAATAAAGCTTGCTGGTCTAAGTGCAGGTCCGATCAAATGTCTGGTGTACCTCTGATGTTCTGAGCCTGAATCTAGGCGCTGTGTGAGAGTTAGAGTCAGATGCACTAATCACCTCGGCTGTACCGTGAACCCAGTGCTCGTGCAGCTGCCTAACCAGACCTCATGTTTGGGCGAACGATGCCCACAGCCGCCCAGAAGTGCTGCCTATAGGTAGACAGTGACACATAAACGCTGACTGCACAAACCAAGAGTCCAGTAAAAACTCCTGTTGAGGTACTCGATAGAAACAAACGGCGTAAAGCATGTGAATCCAGCGCAGACGCAGACGCAGAGCGCGATGGAGACGGAAAGCCGCTGGCGCTCAGCGCGACGCAGCGCAGAATAAAGTGACTGTAGCTCGTTACCTGTCGTGTTCCTGCGCGGAGACAGAAATGCTGCGTGAGATGCGCGTTATAGGTGTCCAGAGACTCACAGACCCTCACAGTCCAGGCGAAGGGAAGAACACACCCGCTCTCACTCCATCCTTCAACTGAGAGTGACCCGCTATTCCAGCTCACCCTATTTCAACAGCTCTCTCTCTTACACACACACAAACACACACACATACACACACACACACACTGCCTGCGACGTCACACAGCGCATATATATATATATATAACACTCACACCGCTGTTGAGAAGATCCCTGTGTCTGCTGCACTGCTGTCACACTCCTGCGTGTGTGTGTGTGTGTGTGTGTGTGTGAACAGAAACACTTGACAAGAGACATGCTACTACAGTCATCACATTAAAGTCACATTTGTAACAGTACTGTGTACACAGTAAAATAATAATAATAATAATGAATACAAAAAGCAGTGTTGTGGACCTGAATGTAGCTTTAAACGTTAATAAATGCATCGTATAATGCCCATTTAATGGCAAAATGTAAAAACAATTATGGAAAAAAAACTTTAAGGAAAAAAATGTTGCCCAACAGAAACTGTATTTACTGTAATTTGTATAAAATTATTATATATAAATTGCAAATGACAACTTGAAATTTATGAAAAATGTCCAAGTTCAAATTCATTATGAACTTTATGAAGCCTTTTAATGGTAACATTTAAAAGTGAAAACAATTATGAAATACACAAATACAAAAAAATAAATTAAAATCAATCTTGGTAATATTTTACAATAAGGTCCTATTAGGTAACGTAACTTAATGGATTAACTAACATTAACTAACAAAGAGCAATACATTTGTTACAGTATTTATTCATCTTTGCTAATGATAGGTAGTAAAAATAGCACTTAATGTTTAGTCAGCTCAGGTCGAATAAATAATATTAACAGACACAACTTTTGATTTTAATCATGCATTAGTAAGTATTGAAATTGACATGAACTAAGATTAATAAATGCTTTATTTCCGTGTTAAATAATGTAATTAACTAATGCTAGCTAATGGAACCTTATCATAAAGTGTTACCAAAATCACATATTATATATTATATATTTTATATACAGTATATATCAAAACTGTATAGTAACTGAGATATATGTAGCCAACGAACCCTGGTGTCTCCTACATCCACTAACAGACCACAGAGGGGGAAAAAGCATCATTTCACAGAAATCAAATCAGTTGAAGTAATGGCACAAAGAAATAACTGTACACAGAGGTGCGGTATACGACAAATAAAATAATTTTAAAAAGCCTTTGAGTGCATATGCAACAGAAGAGTGTCCCTGTAAGACTGTGTCTCCTCCGCTTCAGCATCAAAGGCAGAGAGGAGGTGACACAGTTACAGGGGATAATGCAGGGTGAGCCATCAAAGTTGCATGTGCGCCTGAAATATTCATGCCCACTGTAAGATTCATCACAAAAGAGAAAAGAGCTTTATTAGTGCAGCAGCCAATTGATTCCATGCAATATTGCAAAACGGCAAAGCGAGTGATGGAAGTGACAGGTCGCACTGTTTGTTTCAACAACACATGAAGGGAGCTTAATTAACGGAGTGGCTTGAGAACGCTCTGTTCTAATTACAGCAAAAAACTAGCATTAACAACCTATTAACAAACAAAAATAATCCTTAACGGATCCATAGTTGTAGTTTTCTAGATACAAAGGAAATGTACACTGCCGTTCAAAAGTTTGGGATCAGCAAGATTTAAATTTTTTTCTTAAAGAAGTCTCTTCTGCACATCAAGGCTGAATTTATTTGATCAAAAATACAGAAAAAAACAGTGATATTGTGAAATAATATTACAATGTAAAATAATGCTTTTCGATTTTAATATACTTTAAAATAGAATTTATTTCTGTGATGCAAAGCCGAATTTTCATCAGTCATTATTGCAGTCCTTAGTGTCACGGCATCCTTCAGAAATCATTCTAAAATGCTAAATTAATATCAATAACGCAATTAACGCTTCCTCCAGTGAAAAAGTAATCTGGTCTGAATCAGGAGAGAACTATGCGCAGATTAAGTACCGCTAACAAACCGAAACTGTGGATTTTGATGTGAGAAGACAACAGGAGATTTTCACTGGAGGAAGCATTGTTATGGATTATGGACTCGTATTTTGTCCAGAAGTCACAGTTTCAAGTTAAAACGTCTTAATTATGGATTTGTTACTCACAAACACAGAGACTTTGCCTTCACAAGATGTTAACTGATGGACTGGAGTGGTGTGGATTACTTGTGGATTATTGTGATGTTTTTATCAGCTGTTTGGACTCTCATTCTGACGGCACCCATTCACTGCAGAGCATCCATTGCTGAGCAAGTGATGGAATGCAAAATTTCTCAAATTTTTCTCTCAAAAGGAAACTAACTTCTTTACATCGTGGAAGACCCGAGGGGGTCCAAATGTTTAACAAATTTTTGGGGAAACTATTCTTTTCATTTCCTTTAAAGCTCAAGATCACAGTAGTTAGTAGTCATGCATTGGATCGCTGTAGCCAATTTTCCAAATAAAAGAACACCCAGAAAGAAAAGTTCAATTTTGTTCTGGCTCACACTGTTGCTCAAGCCGAAAAAGTACATTATAGCCCATATGGGGTCAAACGACCATGTAAGGGCTCACAAAACCCTGATATTTAATATATTTGATTTATACAAAAGATGTATTACTTATTGTCACATATCACATGCAATTCAAATAAGACTCCTCATTCATTCGTCCAGCATGTTTCCTAGCTAACAAATAGAGCATCTGCTATTAAATATAACATTATTATTATTGTACCAGGCTAATATAACACAAAGTATGGCGATATAATTATATTAAATAACATACATTAACAGAGAGAGAGACAGATCAAAATTTTTTTTAAACTACAGCAGCTATTAAAACTCTGAGTCCATTATTGAATAGACTGGGACTACAAATCTGCCCAGGACCATCTGCTATGCTATTGTTATGTATGGTCTATCATTTAAATTTAGATAAAAATAAGATAAGATAAACTCTATTTAAGACTGGATCAACTTTATTGATTTATCATTCCCAGTTTACAAATTATGGTCATAAACGTTGTGGGAGCATTCCCAGACATCACCCAAAATATAGTATAATTTGAATGTTTATGTTTAATTCATTCAGCCTTCTATTATTTTTACGCAAAATATAGCATTATTTAAATGTTTATTTTTAATATTCCAAGAAAGTTTTCTTGTTGTAATTAGAACTTTATTTATAGGAGACTAAAACGTTTCTTAGAAGGTTCATCAACTAAACTTCATGAGGGAACAGCAGGGCGTTTGTGAGTTAATAAAAAGCTAATTATTAATTAAATCATTAAAAAAATGTAAAATGCAATAAACAGTTTTAAAATGAAAACAATCACACCGCCATCTTTTCTCAGTCAAATCTTAGTCTGCATGTTTGCAGCCGGTGCAGATCACAGAGAATTGCAGTTAATTGCTAATTGCCATGATGTTGTGTGTCAGTATTTGATTAATGATTAGTTACACTTACATCCTCTGTATTTATTGGAGACGACATCTAACTAGTCTTGGTGAGCACGACCATGCCTGTGTAAAGAGAGATGCACATGTAATGCACAACATAATGCTTGTGTCATTATTACGCCAAACCACTGAGAAAATTCACCCAATGATCTATTGCATAACAGATCACATCGCACTGAGCTTAAGATGTACCGGCCCTGAATGTAAATAGAAAATAAAGGTTAGCTATTATTCATTTTAAAGCCCTCACTAACCCAGAAAACGAGAATGTTTTCTATTAGACACAGAGCATTGAACATATAGCACCATATTTCATACTGAATGCTATTATGAGCTCCATTATGGGATCTTTCTGGCAGTAGGACGAACACTGAGTCAGATATTATGCCCTATACAGAACGTAAACTGTGGAGGATTATTAAAACTCCTTAAAGGGGTAGATGACCTAAAAATGAAATTGTGTCATCATTTACTCACCCTCAAACCTGAAGGAGTTTGTTTCTTCTGTTGAACACATAAGTTGTTCAGTTGGTCCCCATTGACTGTCATAGTATGGAAAAAACATGGAAGTCAATGGGGACCAGAAACTTTTTGGTTTTGTTATCTATCTATCTATCTATCTATCTATCTATCTATCTATCTATCTATCCATCCATCCATCCATCCATCCATCATCTATCTATATGTCTATCTATATGTCTATCTATCTATCTATCTATCTATCTATCTATCTATCTATC